CCACTCTTCTTTGCAGAATTGTTTTCATTCAGCCGCATTGAAGGGTTTTCGAGCATGAACGGCCTGTTTAAGGTCATGCCACAGTATCGCAATCGGATTTAAGTCCGGGCATTGACTAGGCCACTCGAAAACCTTCATTTTATTTTTTTAAGCCATTCAGAGGTGGACTTGCTGATGTGTTTTGGATCATTGTCCTGCTGCATAACACAAGTGCGCTTGAGATCACGAACTGATGGTCAGACATTCTCCTTCAGGATTTTAAAGTAGAGAGCAGAATTCGTGGTTCCATCAATTACGGCATGTCGTCCAGGTCCTGAAGCAGCAAAACAGCCCCAGACCATCACACTACCACCACCATGTCTGACTGCTGGTATGATGTTCTTTTTGTGGCCCCCAGATGAAGTCGAGCGGCTGCTATGGATTCACGTGTGTCGTCTCCGCCGCCACCACTGCCGCATCCGCGTTCGTGGACGCTTTCTTTTGGACGATCTACATGCTGCAATTTTTTATCGATTTCTTTCATTTTTGGTAAAGACATGTTGTACGTCTCGAATGACACTTATTGATTTTGGTTGCCAGGGCGATAGTATTGGCCGACTAATATGCAAATTAGTGGCAAAACATAGAGATTTCCTTGTGGACGCAGTACAGGCTGCAATTTTTGACTGATTACTTTCACATTTGGTATGGACATGTGTTACACTTCACTTATGACACCTATCGATTTTAGTTTCCATGGCGACTTAGTCTGCTGATTTGCTACCAACAAATTAGCATTCAATTTACTGTGAAAACTTTATTTTTCATTTGTGATATGTTGAACAGTACAAACAGTTTGTATCGTATATGGGTTTTATTGCCAAGCCTTGTGCCAGTTCACTCACTGACAAAAACGTAGCATATGTAAGAAGTAAATATTGTATCGAAGTAGATGACAAAATGTCTGTGAATGCATCTCATGTTACTTGTCATCATCTCTATACTAAATATCAGTGTGGAACTATTTATAATGTTTTAACTGCCCTAAATGCAATGTATAGACTATGTGTTATCACTGCTTATGATTGCTGTATGATTAATGCTATGTAACAAAGTGCAGCCTGTGATTAAACGTACATGTAGTTAGGCTTTCCGCAGATCTGATCGGCACTGATCGGATCGGCCGATAATTTGCATAAATGTGCAATCGGTTAAATCCGATATAATGTCCAATTCACCGATCCGATCAATGACGACATAAACATGAGCCGTTGTACGCACAATATCTTGCACGAAACATGTCGGGCGGTGTGGAACTTCTTCAGGGTGAATGAGGCGGATACAGCACAAGCCATATGTAATCTTTTGCAACGCAAAAAATAACTCGTGGGGATCATCAAAAAAGTTTCAACACCACAAATTTAATCAGACACCTGGATAAGGACCACAAAGAGGAGCATTCCGAGTTCCAGAGACAGTCCATGGAAAAAGATAAGCACAAAACACCGAAACGGGCGCTTAAAGCAAACCACTTTATACAATACCATTGTACAGCCGTGAAAAGTGAGAAGGCAAAGGTTGGTACAAGGAAGGTAATGGAATTTATCGTTCTGGCCGACTTGCCATTTAATATTGTGGAGAATTCTGCATTTCAGCGTTTGCTTTCGCATACTTTGATCCGCAACTACCTCCTCCCAGGGCACACATACTGTGGTGATACCGGTCTAAATGAGCTACACCAGGATGTGCGTTACGATGCGTCGAGGGCCTTCTGAAAGAAGACAGTCCTTTATGATTAGTTTCACCACAGATATTTGGTCATCAGACGTCAGCCCCATGTCATTACTGAGTTTGACAGCCCAGTGGATTGACTCAAAATTTCGACTCCGTATATACGGTCCTACAAGCTCAGGAATTCTCGCGGCTCACATACTGCTGCAGCGCTGGTGACGAAATACGACAACATGCTCCTGACGTGGCAGATTCCGAGAAAAGGGTTCATGTCGTACTCGGGATAATGCTGCAAACATGGCCAAAGCAATGCGAGAAGCAGGATTACCCACTTTTAAAGCACATGGCGCACGCGCTTCAATTGGCTGTCCATGACGGGTTATTGGCTCAACGCATGATAACAGACATCCTAGCAACGGGGAGACGCATCATCGGGCACTTCAAACGCTCTCCTCAAGCATATTGTGCATTTCATGATGTGCAGCAACAGCTCGGCCAAGACGTCAAAAAGTTCCAGCAAGACGTCAGCACCAGGTGGAACAGCAGTTACTATATGCTCCAAAGCCTGCTGGAGCAAAAACGCGCATTGGCTGCTTTTGGAGCCGAGCACGAAGTACCTGCTTCTTTCAGTTCCAACCAGTGGGGTCTATCGAAAACATAATAAAAATTCTGGAACCATTTGAAGAGCTCACGAGGGAAATTAGCTCATCTACTGCATCTGCCGCCGATGTTATCCCTTCTGTGATGGCCTTAAAACTTTTCCTGAGTAAAAATGCCCCATCGGATCATGGTGTGGGGACCGCAAAAGCTGAGCTGCTGAGAGCTGTAAACCGGAGATTTGATGGAATTGAAAACGAACCCCTCTACAGTTTGGCTACTCTATTAGACCCAAAAAAAACATTTGGCCTAGAATAATTTGATAAATATACTATACTTAATAAAATAATGTAATTTAGATAAGCTTAACACCCTGATTTAGAATAGCAAAAATGCAGTCTATTAATTGGATAAAATCTATTTTATCCAGCATATACATTTGGCTTTTACTCAGTAAAATTGTCAGAGTTAATTTTATTCAAGAGTGTACAAATGGAATCATATGGACCGTTTGGTTATAGTAAGTCTTATTCTAAGTTGCTCTAAAAGAACAAATGCCCCGTTAAATTAATGTGTGTAATAATAAAACCTTGTGACAATAAAACCCCACTTTTTAAAAGACATTTTAAAAAATGTAAAGTAAAACATAAAATTTATAAAGTTTATAAAAAACTTTTTCAAAAAAAAGGTTTAAAAAAAACTTAATCTTTTAGTAAAAGCTTTTAAAATTTTGTGGTAAAAGCACACGATTAAATTAATGTGATATTTTATTTTTGTTTTTTAACAAAAGGTACAAGGATCGATGCTACTCTGAAGAGCTCAAAGGCACAAACAAGGGGCCTACTTTTAGATTTGCTGGCAGCACAGTTAGGCCCTGATGAAGGACAAGGACCCGGAACAAACAACACAGATGAGCCAGCTGAGAAGATGCCCCGACCTGGTTCCTTGTCATCAATGTTGGGTGAAATCATGCAAGAAGACAGGCCTCAGCAGGCCACTGCAGCAGTGTCACAGTTGAATCTCTACCTGGCAGAGCCAGTCATTCTTCGATGCTGACCCACTGGCTTACTGGAGAGCCAATCAGAATCGCTTTTCTGCCCTCACCACTGTTGTAAGAGCTTACCTGTCTGCACCCTGCACAAGTGTGGACAGTGAGCGCCTGTTCAGTGCTGCATCCAACATCCTGGATGATCGAAGGAGCAGGCTTTCAGCCAGAAAAGTTGAGATGCTCCTCTTTGTTAAAAAGAATCTGCCATTGATGTTTACAGAGGCATAGGCTTCTAGCCTAAGTAATATAACAAGTTTATCCCCATTTTCTCAATTTAAAGGAATATTTGTTTGGGCTGGGTGCCATTTCTTTATTTTTAGGGTCTTGAGGACCATGTACTACTATACTACGCGGCTGCTATATAATTTTAATGCCTAAGCAAGCACTTTTACAGTTTATTTACTTTTGTATTTATTTATTTAACTTTTTTTTGGAAATACATGTGGCCTGGGTGCTGTTTTTTGTTGACCTGTGTGTCATTGTTTATTTTGAGTTAAAAATGCTTGCCAATGTTCTGGGGCAGTATTACAGCCCTTTATTTGCAGTATTTGCCTGTCACAGTAAAGTAAGACTGTATTCACTTATCTTCATGAAGTTACAATGCTGGTCAATGTTCTGAGGCATTATTCTGCACTTTATTTGCAGTGCAGTTATTTACAGTAAGATTGTATACACTGTTATATAGCCTAATATAGCCTCAATGTTAATTTTATAATATTGCTTTAGCTGGCACTTGGCACTGATACAACAACTGTGGACTCTCAGAAAGTTTTCACTTTATTTGTTGGGCCCATAACTTCTGTGCCAAGTTGTTTTATTCCAGCCTTTTAATAAATATGAGTTTGTCCTGATTGAACTTTGAACTTATTTTTGGCCAGTCCTTGAGTGCTATCTACAGGTCATTGATGTTTCTAGCAATTTGGTACCGCTAAATGCTTGAACCCTTGCATCTCGGTTTGGGACATGGCAAACATTGTAAAACATTGCCAAAAAAAAGGTTAAAAATACTTTTGTTGATACTCAGTAAACAATGCATAAGCATATGCAGTAAATAAACAAGTTCTTGAAATAGACATACTGCTCCCTCACGTGATCGGATCGTGATCGGTTATCGGTTTATTTAAACTCACTAATCGGTGATCGGTGATCGACCCCAAAAATCCTGATCGTGTAAAGCCTACATGTAGTATGATTATTACCTCTTTGTCTCTTTCCTTGTTAATATGTTCTGGATGTGACTGCTTCCTGTTCCACTTGTTTGTTGTTACATGGTGTTATATTCCATGTGTTCTGTGGGTACAAATTAAATTAATATGTGTAATCTGTCATGATCTGCTGACATGGTTTGCAAGTGGAATTGGTGTTGCCTTTACACCCTAACAGTCTATTTTTGAGCAGGCAAGCTCTGTATGTTAGGACACAAAAAACCCAGAGAATGCGTGGGGTGAGAATCTGACGCAAGTGAATTATTTGGAAGGTAGCCATGCTCTCCATTGTAACACCAAAAGATACTGAGGTACAGCGCCCTTGTTTTCTCAGCTACATCCATTGACTTGAGATTCTGACCATTTTTACTGTCTGACAAGCAAGATACGGTAAATACTGCTGATTCCAAATCATAACGAAATAGACAACTGTCCATCAAGGCTCCTTGGTCCAGGGGTATGATTCTTGCTTCAGATGTGAGTGGTTCTGGGTTCAACTCCCGGAAGAGCCCTTAAGGTGTTGCTTAATTCTCTTCCTTTCTCGAATATCTGCTTGTCTACCCTGTTTATGCTATCGAGAGTTTGCATTGATGCTCAAAATTAGGAGTGTATCCTCAGACTGCTTGGCTATGCTTCCAATGACATGCCAGTATACCTAAAAGAATAGTATATACAGTTGCAATGCTCATGAATATTCTGTAGGATGGACATATGTCAGTACTTCTGTACACATTTTTATCACAGGGTTTTGAAGGCGCACATCTTGAGTCCAACAACTGTGATTGGCCTCTTGGATTGATCGTCTTAAAGCACATGACTACTTTCAGTTTGTCACCATGCAATTTGTCCTTGAACAAGATACCTATTTTTTGCTGTGTTAAGAATTTTACTCAGGATTTTCTGTGAAGTCTTTGATGACACAAGATATCTACATTTAAGTTTACAACACCAGTGGGGAAAAAGCTGGAGCTTCACTGTAATCTGTCATGATCTGCCAACATGATAAGCAACTGGGTCTGGTGTTGCCTTTACACTCTAACAGTCTGTTTTTGAGTGAGCAGGTACTGTTAGGAGATGAAAAACCCAGAGCATGCACTGGATGGTAATCTGACCCAAGTCAGCAGTTTGGATGGTTGCCATGCTCTCCTTTGTAACCCCAACAGATACTAAGGTACAGCGTGGTCATTCCCTCAACTTCATTCATTGACTTGAGATTCTGACCATTTTAACTGTCTGACATGCACCAGGATCTTGGCAAAAGGGCCCAATCCAGATCATGGTGGGAGAGGCCAGCTTCTCTCAGGGCTCGTTGGTCTAGGGGTATGATTCTCGCTTCGGGTGTGAGAGGTCCCGGGTTCAACTCCCGGACGAGCCCTTGATGTGGTACTTGGTTATGATCTTTTCCAAGTGCCTTGCTGGTTAAGGTCCAGAGTTCAGGTTAAACCATTCCACCCCCACCTCCATATATCCCACCCTCCCCCGATGTTCAGATTACATCAAGATTTTACACTGTAACTAATCATGTTTGAGAAAGAAGAAAAAAAATTGAGACAAGAATGAAAAGGAGAAAGCTAATTAAATAAAATAAATAAAGTAAATAAGGAATACAAATAAGCACATAAATAATGAGTGGTGACAGTAACAGGAATAGTCATAATGTTATTTAATCCCTTAGCCAGTAAGTTTACAAATCAAATTACCTACTGATTGAACAATTGGTTGCGGAAAGCAGAGTATGTCATGCTGTAATTTACATCGAGAATTATAAAGTCATGATATATTCCTCCAATGGACCCCAGATTTCAGCAAAATCTTTTTGTTTCCTTGCAAGTTTGAAGCAATTTCTTCCATATTTATCATATCAATTGCTTCATTAATCCATTCTTTATGAGATTATAGTTTTTGTTACCATGCATATTGAAAGAAAAACATTTCTATCATTAGATGAAAGTTTTTTGTAGTTATGCAGGTCTCCAATATATGTTTGTGGGCTTAAAGGTATATCTATTTTTTTGACGTCCAGGATCTGTTTGGTTATGCTGAGCCATAGCTCTTTAATGTTTTCACATTCCCATATGAAATGTAATAGTGATTCTTCGCAAGTACCGCATTTTACACATTTGCCGTTCTCCCGTAATCCCATTTTGGACAGGAGGGATGGGGTACAATACAGACAGTTCAGGATTTTAAATTGTCTCAATTTGTTTTTTGTAGAGCAAAATGGATAGCTTGCATTTTTCCAGACATTGGTCAGGGAAATTTCATCCTCTTGCTTACCAAGATCTCTAGCCCATTTTAAGGCACAATTTTTTAACAGTTTATCAGAGGTTTCATTCAGCAAAGCATAAAATAATGAAATTGATGTTTTATCTCTTGAGTTCAAGCAAAAAAGTAAGCTTTCCAACTTATGTACATTTTCACTCACTTTATCTATTGGTACACAATTATTTACGGCATGTTTTAATTAATATAATTTAAATATTCAGATTGTGGTATACCTTTTTTTGTGATGAGGTCACTAAATGTCTTAAAACAGCCATTTGTCAGGAGATGTTGGACTTCAGTAACCCCGTTTTGTTTCCATTTATTCCAGTTTATTGTTTTCTTATTTACTATTATATTAGGATTATTCCACAGTGGTTGGTTACCCGAATAGACTGGGTTAATGCTCAGGACTTTTTTTTTGGATAATTGTAATATTTCAAAGGATGTTTCTTCTGTATTGGGCCATGTACTATTTCTTTAAGTTTTGCTTTCATGTAATATAGGCTTTTTAGCCCTATATTCATTTTCTCCATTGTAATCTTTTCTATTTGCATCCAGTCTTTACTAGTTGCTGTTGGGTCGAGCCAGTTTCATAATTGTTGGCAGCCAAAGGCCAAATAATAATGATAAAAATTGGGCATTTTGAGTCCCCCTTCTGATTGGAGCTAGATAGTCTGAAATATGAGCACCTTGCCTTTTTCCCCTGCCATATAAACCTAGAAAGAGTCTTATGCAGGGAGTCAAACCAATTCTTTGACATAGGAAGTGGTAGCATTCTGAGGATATAATTTAAACAAGGTAGTACAGTCATTTTAACCGCATTAATTCTTCCCCATAATGATATTGGCAAATTTTACCATCATATTATATTATTATTTATTTTGCTCATAATTTGAGCGAGATTAATATTGCGTGTTTGATGCATAATTGGTGTAATCCTTAATCCGAAGTAATTTAATTCTGTTTCCTTCCATTTAATTTTTGTATTCTGGATGCAGTGAATAGTACAATGATTATTTAGTGGCGTTAATTCTGATTTTGACCAGTTTACCTTATATCCAGAAAGGTCACTAAAATCCGTAATAATTTGGTTCAAGCGAGTGAGTGATGAGTCTACATTAGTTAAATACAAGAATATGTCATCTGCATATAATGATTTTTTTTTTTTAAGTTTGTTGTCCAATTATTACACCTTTGATATCTTTAACTGATCTTAGTTTTATAGCAAGTGGTTCAATCATCAGATTAAATAATAATGCTGATGCTGGACAGCCTTGCTTTGTTCCCCAGTGTAGGGTAAATGGTCTCGATATTTTTTCATTAGTTTTTATGGATGCTTTAGGATTTGTATAAAGCATGTGTATCCACTGTTGAAAATTACAACCAAAACCATATTTTTTTAAGATGTAAAACAAAAATGGCCATTCAACCCTATCAAAGGCCTTCTCTGCATCAAGAGGCAAACAGCAGCAGAAATATGATATTGTTTTGTGAACTTAATGACATTGCATAATTTTCTAGTATTATCAGAAGAGTGTCTGTTTTTCAATGAAGCCAGTCTGATCTAAATGAATCAATTTTTGTACAACTAATGCCAGTCTTGTGGATAATATTTTTGCCAAAATTTTATTGTCGAGGTTTGCCAATGATACAGGTCCATAATTACTGCATAATAAAGGATCCTTATCTTTTTTATTAATTAAAGTGATATGTGAATAATTAAAAGTGGGAGAGAGGGATCCATTCATGAGTGCAGTTTGATAAGTTTCAAGAAGTATTGGAGACAATTCATTACAAAATGTTTGATAAAATTCAGCACTATAGCCATCTGGTCCAGGTGATTTATTTTTGGTTAAAGAATGGATGGCTTTCTGTATTTCTGATAGTTATAGATTATTCTAGTTCATCTCTCTCCTCTTTGGATATGGAAGGTAGTGTAATGTCTTTAAAAAATAAATCAAATGATTCATATGTACCGGTGGTGTCTGACTAGTAAAGATTCTCATAATATGATAAAAACGTCAAATTTCTTTCTTCCGGGTCAGTGGTAGTTGATTGATTTGTTTTAATACTTGATATGTTGTTTCTGGTCATTTGTTTTTTAAGTCTTATGCTCAACATCTTGCCTGCTTTTTCCCTGTTTTCAAAATAGTCCAATTTTGCTTTATTTAGTTTATATTGAATTTTATTTCACATTATTTCATTCATGTAAATTTACATAATCTGGCCCAAGATTCATTATCGAATTGATTTGATAAGGAGACCTGTAATGATTTAACTTTATTTAATAGTTCATGGCCAATTCCATTGTGACGGGGGTTACATTTGCACGCATTTTGAAAATGTGCACCAACTTCACTGTCAACCATAATGATGCAATATTTGGACTGTGTGTGCTACTACAAGTCAACCCCATGCTCTGTCAAGATTTAAAAACTTTATGCCAAAAATACTGTTTTAATCATTGTCAATTACATGTTAATTAGCTGTGACGGGCGTTACAGCTAAAAGACATTGGGTTGAAGCACGTATGTTACTGATATCTCTGTGAACTGTGATCTCCTTTAAATATAAATGATGTATAGCATTGTGGAGCATGTCTGTGGGATTCACAAAACTAAGGCGGTAAGACAGTTTGACCATACTATTTGAGTAAAATGAGCACTTAATTCACTGTGACGGGCGTTACATACTTGTGACGGGTGTTACAGTGTGCAGATAATCAGGTGATGCACAATGTTTCTGTGGTTGGTGCCAGTCATTCACCACTCTAACATGCCTTATATGAGGCATAGTCAATCCCCAAGGCCCACTGTCATAATCCTGTCTGTTTGCTACATGAGCAGGGATATACCTGTGTCTTTGTGCAAGCCACTTACAGGGACTCTTTGCTCATAGTTTGTTTACATTTTGGCGAGTGAAAAAAATTGCCTCAATATTCTAACATCAAAGTTCTAGAGATGAAAAATGAAAGCTTTGTGCCTTTTACTACAATGGCAGTTGAAATAGCACACTTGGGCTTGCTGAGATTATTGCTAAAACAATAATAACTCTGGTTTGTTTTATATGCCACCCAACACTAATTCACGAGTGTAGAGTCTCTTTTATAAGCAGGGGTAATAACCAGTGGCAAACAAAATGGTTCAAAGAAACAAACAGGGGAAAACTTTATTGCCACAAGAATAAACATGGTAAAACTATAGAATTCTAAAAACAACTAGAGACTCTTAGTAGGGTGAACATATGT